TAGTAATACAAAGTCATGAGCTCTAAAATAAGATACAACAAAATCTCTCAATAATACAAATATTGTCTGAAATGTAAATAACAGTATGATAAAAGAACGAAGGGACTCCAAGGGTTTGCAGATGACCATGCAGCACTACCTTAAGTCTCCTATATTTGCTACTGTGCACCCTCCTGAGGTCCCCTCGAACCAATGCCAAAATATGCATAAAAATATACATAAGTGTAGTATGAATACGAAACAACGCCCACTCAGTAAGTATCAAGACTAACCTCGCTGAAGTAGTGATGAGGTTTAACTCGTATGATACCTACTAAGAAATAAGTCTATACAATTCATATTTATACACAGTAAGGTTACGAAAAGAGATATGATACTATAAAAGAATACATCATCAGTTATCAACTCAACATGGATAATTCTATCTCCTCTATCAAGTCCAAAGCATGTAACATAGGCATGGAGCAGCATGTCAGAAAATAAACATAAAAAGCATACAGTATACTATGATATAGCATAAATGATTCATTTGAATGGTCAAAGCTACCACCCATATGCTCAAAACTCAACACATCAAATTTCATATCAAAATCAACTAGAAATATATCATTTTCTCACAACATGTGTGTAAGCCATCAAGAGAGAAGCCTGAGAGGGCGACCCTATGGAAATGGATCCATATTCATACGCTGCACGAAAAAGAACTCGTGCCATAACAATAACATTATCACCATAACAGGACCTCAGAAACCTCGTGCCACATCAAATTCAATCCGCTCAACATGTCTAAATGTGCCATCATCATAGCAATCCGAAATAATATTTCATCTCAACGGATGCATATGCTCATAAATAATCAATAAGATGAACAAGAATATAATAAATAAAGGTGTGGATGTGTGCACAAGATAGAAAGCATGACTATGACTAAATTGACTATACCAACAATTTCACAAATAGCCCTTCTTGGCCAATTAAGATGAAGTAATTCTAAATATGGTTACTACCATGAAGAATAAGCTCATGTAGTCATACAATCAATTAAACAAAATTAATGAAAGGCACATAAAAACAAGGGATAATGAGAACCTAAAGTCTAACCCGGACATATATAACCCCTAGCACCCACATAAGCGCTCGTCATCTCGCATATACATTGCTGCCTCACATATTTTATTTAAGCAAACAAGGTCATATCCTAAAGGTTATTTCCTCAAACCAAGATTAGGCGAAATACTTACTGTCACGACCCGAATCTCAATATATATTGATGGCGCCGATCACAGTACTGAGCAAGCTGTTAATCACAAATAACTATGCATTTTGAATTAAAACATGATGGAATAAGTTTAACAGTAAAATTCTCATAAAAAACCGATAAGATTAACTACGACTCAAATACAAAATTCTCAAAATTCGGGTGTCACTGAGTATATGAGCTGCTAAATGACAAAATAGTCAAAACTTCTAATAAAACTATCTAGAAAGATAGAACAATGCTAAATAAACTAAAGAGGAGAGTCGAGGTCTGAGGATGCCAAAACAACTACCTCAATAGTCTCCAAGCAGGTAATGCTCCAAGTCTAGCAACCACTGGGTCCAGATGTACCTGGATCTACACACAAAGTGCAGAGTGTACTATGAGTACAACTGACCATATGTACTCAATAAGTAATAGGACTAACCTTGGCTGAAAGCGATGATGAGCTCAATAAGGCACAATCCAAATCCAGATAATGACAGTATGATATAACAGAGAAATAATAGTACTACTCGGATGAAATCTCAAATCAATTTATACACAGAATGAAAATGTAGACATGCTTTCAAATTCAACAATTAAGCTCAATACCTGTAAGATGTGCCAACTATAGCTAGCATGAGGAATATTACATCTCTATGCCTACATAAACAAATATGCATGTTAAATCCAATGCATCACAATGATACTCCCATGTACTCGCTCTCAGAGTACTCAATCTTACTGTCACAACTCCTCATCAAACTCAGTAACTCAACATTATACGGTACATGTGCTCACTGCTGGTATGTCAGGCTCCGAAGAGATGGATCCTGCCCAAGCGCTAATAAAACATGGTACGACGTGCAACACTATCCCATCATGAATCAATAATGCCTAATGCGGCGTGCAGCCCGATCCCATCAGGACGTAATAAAACCTGTTGCGGCACGTAGACTGATCCCATCAATATCATTCACAATCCGACCCTCCATCCCCAACTCAGTCATGAATCTCTCCAGTCTCTCGGGCTCACAAATCTCATGCCAATCAGCCCAAACAATGATAACATGATGGAACAATAAATAACAACAATGACTAAGATATGATATGCAAATAATAGATGTGACTGAGTATAACATTTCAGTTCAAGCAAATAATTCAACAGCATAAATGACCTCAGCGGGTCACAACAGAATAAACATATATCATAAGCATGATTTCTAACATAGATTGCAACTCAATTACTCTAACACATATAGATTACATGAATAACAATAAGGTTTGATTTCTACATGGTACCATGGACTCAACCAAGTCACAATCACTACGGTGCACGACCACACGCCTTTCACCTAGCATGCGTGTCACCTCAATACCAACCACATAACACGTATTTGAGGGACTCATACCCTTAGAATCCTTGACTGGCAAATCTTTTGCTTTTCGGGTGTGTGGAACAATGGTGCTTGCGTTGCAGGAGATGCCCGCCCGTAGGGCCTGGCTTGCTTCCCGCCCGAAAGAACCGCTCACTAACTAACCGGTGGGTTGATAACCCACAGCGGAAGGCATTCTACCCAATAAGGCCGTCAAGTTCCGTGTAAATCCCTACTCCAACAGCCCTTTCCTCACGAATCGGCCTCCGAACGACTCCAATCTAGCCACAAACAACTTAATACAATCAATACAAGCTTTAGGAATCAATTCCATGTGATAAAGCTAGGTTCTTTGACAAAAGTCAAAAACTCAACCCAGAAAGTCAATTCCTGTCTCACGTCTCGGAATTCAACAAAATTTTTAAAATACAAACACCCATTCAATAACGAGTCCAACCATACAAAAATCACCCAATTCCAACCTCTAATCGCCACTCAAGTCCCCAAATCTTACTCTCTAATACATGAGTAAAAAATCCCCAAATGCCAACTTAGATTCGTGATAATTAGGTGAAATAATCAATGGGTATTCAAAATACATGGATAAAAGTGATCAAAATTCATTTACCTCTTCAATCTAGGTGAGAACCACTTCAAAAATTGCCTAAGTTCACACCCAAAACTCTCAAAATGAGAAGAAGACTCAAACCCTCGATTTTAAATACCTGCCCAACTCTTTTTGCACCTGTGGACTCACCAGCTGCACCTCTGGCCCCACTTATGCGGAAATCACTTAAGCACCCAACCAGCCGCACATGTGGCAAAATATTCGCACATACGAGACCGTTTTTGCGGTCCGTGCTTCGCTCCTGTGCATCCACGCCTGCAGATTCCAATCCCCTTCTACGAGTCCAGTCCCACATATAAAAATCTACATCTGCAGAGACTCATAGCATCTGCAGGCCTGCAGATGCGAAAAAAGCCTCGCACATGTGACCACTGCCCAACACATACCGGGCCGCTCCTGCGACCCCATGCTCACTTCTGCAGTTGCGCACCTGCGACCCATTCTTCGCTAGTGCAATCGCACCAGACCTGAAACTCTTAAGCATTTTCCTCGAGTTAAAACATTAATCTGATTACATCTGAATCACACTCGAGGCCCCGGGGACCCCATCCAAACATACCAACAAGTGCTAAAATACAATATGAACTTAGTTCAGGATTGAAATGACATCAAATAACATCAAAAACACAAATCGCACCCAATTTAAGCCTATTGAAACTAATGGATTTCTAACTTCTTCAATCGATGAGAAACCTATCAAACTAACTCCGACTGACCTCAAATTTTGCACACAAGTCATAAATGACACAACGGACCTATTCAAACTTGCGCAACCAAAATCCGATCTCGGTAATAACAAAGTCAACGCTCTGTCAAACTTCTCCACTTTCGAAACTTCAACTTTTCCAACTTTCGCCAATTCAAGCCAAAATGACCTATGGACCTCTAAATCAGTATCCGGACACACTCCTAAATCCAAAATCATTATACGGAGCTATCGGAACCATCAAAACTCCATTCCAGAGTCATTTACACATAAGTCAACATTCGGTCATCTCTTCCGACTTAGGCTTCCAACCTTGGGACTAAGTGTCCCAACTGATTCCGAAACATCCCGAGAACCAATCCAACTACCCCGTCAAGTCAAATAAAAATAAACAAACATAGGATAAGAAATAAATGGGGAAACATGGATTTAATACTCAAATCGACCACCCAGGTTGTGACATTCTCCCCCTTTCAAATAGGTAAGGATATCTGATCCTCATCTCCCACTCGGTCTCCCAAGTAGCCTAGTTGATTGGCTGACCTCTCCACTGTACTTTCACTGAAGCTCTATTCTTTGACCTCAACTTTCAAACCTTTCGATCCCAAATGGCCACCAACTCCATATCATAAGTCAAATCCCTATCTAATATAAACGTCTAAAGTCCAAAATATTAGACGGATCACTAAAATACTTCTGGAGCATGGAAACATGAAACACTAGATGGACACTCGATAGACTAGGTGGAAACGAAAGCTTGAAAGCCGCCTCTCCAATCCTCTCAAGCACCTCAAAAGGGCCAGTATGTCGAGGGCTCAAATTAACCTTGTCCAAAGCAACCTGAACTAAGTCAGTATCCAATAGCCTAGCCTCACCTAACTAAAACCAACCAATCGGAGACCGACACTGCATCCCATACAAGGCCTCATACAGAGCCATCTGAATACTCGGTTGGTAGTTGATGTTGTAGGGATATTCTGCAAGCAGAACAAACTGAACCTAAAAATCCCCAAAATCCATGACACAAGTGTGTGGCATATCCTCCAATATCTAAATGGTGCATTCGTATTGCCCGTCTATCTGAGGGTGGAATGTTGTACTCAGCTCAACCCGCATGCCTAACTCTCGCTGCATTGCTCTCCAAATTGCTATATGAACTGCCTGCCCTAATTTGAAATAATTGACACTAGCACACCATGAAGGCGAAGAGTCTCGCGCATAGGTAGTCCCAACTTGAATGAAATGCGCAGACATAGTCAACCAGTCCACAATCACCCAAATAACATCAAATATTTTCAATGTTTGTGGGAGCGCAGCTATGAAGTCCATGGTTGTACGCTCCCGTTTCCACAGAGGAATCTCATGCCTCTGAAGCAAGCCGCCAGACTTTTGATGATCGTACTTCACCTGATGACAACTTAAGCACCGAGCTACAAACTCCACTGTATCTTTCTTTATTATCCTCCACTAATAGGTCTACCTCAAGTCGTGATACATCTTTGTGGAACCTGGATGAATGGCATACCGCGAACTGTGGGCCACTTCTAGAATCAACTCACGTAACCCATCTACATTGGGCACAAAAATCTGACCATGTATCTGCAATACCTCGTCTTCTCCAATAGAAACCTCTTTTACATCACCGTGGTAAACCGTGTCCTTAAGTACAAGAAAATAGGGGTCTTCATACTAACGCTCCATGATGCGATCATATAAAGAATACAGAGAAACCACGCAATCTAGAACTTGACTAGGCTCCAAAATATCTAACCTCACGAACTATTGGCCAAGGCTTGAACATCTACTGCAAGTGGTCACTCACCAATAGGAATATATGCAAGACTACCCATACTCACTGCCTACCTACTCTAGGCCTTGGCCACCATGTTGGCCTTCCTAAGATGACACAAAACGGTAATATCGTAGTCATTTAACAGATCCAACCACCTTCGCTGCCTATAATAAGTTAGATTATTTTTCTTGAACAAGTGCTGAAGGCTCCCATCATCTGTAAATACCGCACAAGACACGTTGCAGAGATAATGCCTCCAAATCTTCACTGCATGAACGATGGTTGCCAGCTCTATACCATGAATGAGGTAATTTTTCTCATGAGTCTTCAACTGACGTGAAGCATAAGAAATCACCCTACCCTGCTACATCAAGACACACCCAATACCAATCCGATAAGCATCACAATGGACTGTATAAGAACCTGATGCTGAAGGCAAAACTAGAACTGGAGTGGTAGCCAAGGCAGTCTTGAGCTTCTGAAAGCTCTCTTCACACTCATCCGACCACCTGAATAGAGCACCCTTCTGGGTCAACCTGGTCAAAAAGTGCTGCAATGGACGAGAAACCCTCCACGAAGCGACGATAATATCCGGCCAAGCCAAGAAAGCTCCGAATCTCAGTAGCTCAAGACGGTCTAGGCAAACTCGGAACTGCCTCAATCTTCTTCGAATCTACCTTGTTCCCCTCATTGGGAACCACGTGCCCCAAGAATACGACCGAACCGAGCAAAAACTTACACTTGGAGAACTTGGTATAAAGCTTCTCCTCCCTCAACGTCTGTAGTACAATCCTCAGATATGGTGCATGCTCTTCCTGGCTACGTGAGTACACCAGAATATTATCAATAAATACTACGACAAATGAATCAAGATATGGCTAGAACACACTATTCATTAGATGCATGAATGATGTTGGGGCATTGGTCAGCCCAAAAGACATCACAAGGAACTCATAGTGACCATAGCGGGTCCTGAATGCCATCTTCAGAATATCAGAGCCCGAAACATCAACTGGTGATACCTATACCTCAAATCAATCGTAGGGAACACTCTAGCTCCCTGAAGCTAGTCAAATGAGTCATCAATGCGCGAAAAAGGATACTTGTTTTTATTTGTGACTTTGTTCAATTGTCTGTAGTCAATACACATCCGCATAGTACCATCCTTCTTCTTCACAAATAGAGCCGGTGCACCCCAAGGAGACACACTAGGCCTAATGAAACCCTTGTCAAGAAGCTCCTAAAGCGGCTCTTCCAATTCCTTCAAGTCTGCTGGTGCTATACGATATATTAGAATAGAAATGGGCTGAGTTCCCGATACCAAGTCAATACCAAAATGAATGTCCTTTTCGGGCGGCAGGTTTGCATAAAACACATCCGAAAAGTCTCGCACCACCAAGAACAGAATCAATGTTAGGAATATCAATACCAACATCCCTCACAAAGGCCAAATATGACAGGACCTCTTCCCAACCATCCATTGGTCCTTCAGATATGAAACCACCCTACTAGGAACGTAGTCTAGCGAACCACTCCACTCGATCCTAGGTAACTCCAGCATCGCCAACATCATGGTCTTAGTGTAAAATCCAGAATAGCATGACATGGGGAAAACCAATCCATGCCCCGAATCACGTCAAAATCAACCATACTAAGCAATAAGAGATCAACTATCGTCTTAATGCTCAAATGTAACCAACACGGCCGATACACACGGTCCAGAACAATAGAATCGCCCACTAGCCTAGATACATGAACGGGCGAACTAAGGTCTCACGGGGCATTTCAAAATAATGAGCAAAATATGATGGTACATATGAATTAGTGGAACATGGGTCAAATAATATGGAGGCATCCATGTGGCACACTAAGACAATACATGTGATCACTACGTCGGAAGCAACGGCCTCTTGCCTGGCAGGGAATGCATAGCCTCGAGACTGACCGCTACTTGACCGGCCTCCCCCTGTAGGTCAACCTCCAACTGCCTGAGCCCCACCCCGAGCTAGCTGAGTGGATGGTAAAGTATCTGGTGTGGAAGTCATAGGTTGACGCCTCTGCTGAACTACACACCCCAAAACGTAAGGACAATACCACTTCATATGACAAAACTCTCCACACTCGAAGCAACCCCGCTCTGCCAATAGAGGCACGCACTAAATCAGACCCCGAGAACCTGAATAACTACTAGAAGGACATGGCAAAGATGAACCCTGAACCGATGGAGCACGAGATAAACTCTAAACTGGAAGGGCACTAAGAGATGACTGACCCGGACGAGCTTGAAAACGCCTGCTGTGGTGAGATCGTCCTCCAAAAGAGACACCGCTGAAATCACTCAAACCACGAGGCCTCTTGGCCTCCCTCTCCTCACGCTCCTGACCACGGACCTGCTCTAGCTGCCTAACAATATCGACCACCTCATCAAACCTAGCACCCAATGCAATCTTCTAGGTTATGACGAAGTGCAGTCCATAATTGAGGATGGACCTCCTAATCCTCTCCCTCTTTGTGGGAACAAAGTAGATCGCGTGACCAGCCAACTCTAAAAATCTAATCTCATACTGGGTCATGAACATACCCTCCTAGCATAGCTGCTTAAACTGCCTATGCAACTCCTCCCTACGGGTCTATGGAACAAACTTCTCTAATAGGAAAACTGAAAACTCATGCCATGTAAGTGGTGCAGCGCCGGCTGGCCTGCTTAACTCATAAGCCTCCCACCATCTGAAGGCTGCCTCTAACAGCTGAAAGTAGTAAATGAAACTCCATTAGTCTCCGAAATACATGACGTGTGAAGAATCCCCTAGAACCTATCTAAGAAGTCCTGAGCATCCTCTAACTCAGCTCTACTAAATGCTGGAGGCCTGAGCCTCCCAAACCGGTCTAGAATTTTCTGCTCCTCGTCACACATAGGTTGACCCACCTGGGCTCGAGCAACTGCAAACGGTTGGGCTGGTAGTACCCCCGGTATCTGAAGTCCCTGAATCGCCTGCTCTGAGTACAGATGGGAGTCTGAGCACCTCCCCCGGCCTGAGAAGTGGCTGGCGTGGCCTGAACAGAAACCGCCTGAGCAAGGCTAGTGCATACAGTCAATATCTTGGCCAAAGCCTCATAAAATCATGGAATCACAATGGGCACAGCTGGTGCCTGAGCTGTCCTACCGTCTCAACACATCTGGTATCTGCTCCTGAGCTAGAGCAATTGGTAGCTCCACAGGTGCTGCTCTAGCTGCTGTACGAGCTACGCGTCTACCACGGCTGCGGCCTCACGTGTCCCTAGCAGGTGGTACTAGTAGCTGTCTGTCCAACTGGTAGCACGTGCCCTCACAATCTGTGAGAGAATAGAGTAATAGCATTTTAGTTTCCGGAATCAACAAATCTGCACAACAAGAATACAAGAGAGTGAAGTTTTCCTGATTGTTCGGTATCCTCTCGAAGATAAGTACAGACGTCTCCGTACTGATCCTAAAGACTCTACTAAATCTAGTCATGACTCATGAGACCTATGTAACCTAGGCTCTGATACCAACTTGTCACGACCCAAATCCTAACATGTCGTGATGGCGCCTATCACAGTACCAGGCAAGTTGACAATAACAAATAACTACACATTTTGAATTAAAAGCATGATGGAATAATTTTAACAGTGAACATCTCATAAATAACCGATAAGAATAACTGCGACTCAAATACAAAATTCTTAAAATTTGAGTGTCACTGAGTACATGAGCTATTAAATGACAACACAGTCAAAATTTCATATAAAATTGTCAGGAAAGATAGAACAATGCTAAATAAACTAAAAAGAAGGAGAGTCAATGTCTGCATACGCCAAAATAACTACCTCAATAGTCTCCAAGCAGGCAATGCTCCACATCTAGCAACCAATAGGTCCGGGTGTACATGGATCTAACACGAAGTGCAGAGTGTAGTATGAGTACAACCGACCCAATATACTCAATAAGTAACAGGACTAACCTTGAGCTGAAAGCAGTGACGAGCTTAGAAAGGCACAGTCCAAATCCAGATAATAACAGTACGGGATAATAGGGAAATGACAGTACTACTCAGATGAAATCTCATAATTAGTTTATACATAGTACGAAAATGTAGACATGCTTTCAAAATCAACAATTAAGTTCAATGCCGCGAATATGTGCCAAGTATAGCTAGCATGAAGAATGTTACATCTCTATGCCTACATAAACAAATAAGCATGTCAAATTCAATGCATCACAATGATAGTCATATGTACTCGCTCTTAAAGTACTCAATCTGATTGTCTCAACTCCCACTCATCACACTTAATCACTCAGCACTATATGGTACCTATGCTCGCTGCAGGTATGTCAGACTCCGGAGGGGCGGATCCTGCCTAAGCGCTAATAAAACTTATTGCGGCGTGCAACCCGATCCCATCATGAATCAATAATACCTAGTACGGTGTGCAGTCTGAACCCATCATGAATCAGTAAAACCTGTTGTGGCACGCAGCCCATTCCCTCCAATATCACTCGCAATCCGTCCCTCACGCCACAACTTAGTCATCAATCTCTCTAGTCTCTTGGGCTCAAAAATCTCATGCCAATTCGCCCAAACAATGATAACATGATGTAAAAATAAATAACAATAAAGACAGAGATATGACATGCAAATGATGGATGCAACTGAGTATAACATTTTTGTTTAAGCAAATGATTTAACATCAGAAATGACCTCAGTGGGCCCCAATAGAATAAGCATATAGCCTAAACATGATTTCTAACATGGATTGCAGCTAAATTAGTCTAACACATATGGATTACATGAATAACAATACATTTTAATATCTACATGGGACCACAAAATCAACCAAGTCATAATTACTATGGTGCATGCTCACACGCCCATCACCTACCATGTGCGTCACCTCCAAACAAACAACATAACACGTATTTCAAGTATTCATACCCTCAAAATAATGTTAGAAGTATTGCTTACCTTAAACCCTTTAAATCCCTACTCTAACAAGCCCTTGCCTCGTGAATCGCCCTCCGAACGACTCTAATCTAGCAACAAATAACTTAATACAATCAATACAAGCTATAGGAATCAATTCTAAACGATAAAGCAAGGTTCTTTAACAAAAGTCAAAAAGTCAACCCAAAAAGTCAACTCTAGGCCCACGTCTTGGAATCCAATAAAAATTTTAAAATACGAACACCCATTCAATAACGAGCCCAACCATAACAAAATCACCCAATTCCGACCTCAAATCGCCACTCAAATCCCCTAATCTTACTCTCTAATACATGAGTCAAAAATCCCCAAATTCCAACTTAGATTCATGATAATTAGGTGAAATAATCAATGGGTATTCAAAATACATGGGTAAAAGTGATCAAAATTCATTTACCTCTTCAATCTAGGAGAAAACCTCTTCTAAAATCGCCTATGTTCGCACCCCAAAACTCTCAAAATGAGAAGAAGACTCAAACCCTCGATTTTAAATATTTGCCAGACCCTTTTGGCACCTGTGGACTCACCAGCCGTACTTATGGCTCCACTTATACGAAAATCACTTAAGCACCCGACCAGGTGCACCTGTGGCCTAATATTCGCATATGCAAGACCGTTTTTGCGGTCCGTGCTTCGCTCCTATGCATCCATGCCTGCAGATTCCAATCACCTTCTATGAGTCCAGTCCCAACTATAAAATCTGCATCTGTAGAGACTCATAGCATCTGCGGGCCTGCAATAGTGTCACAAGTGCACGAGCGAGTAGAATAATACATATAATGGTCCGTATGAAAGTAAAATAGTATGAAATAAAATAAACAGCTATGATTAGGTAGAAGGGGACAGAAGGGCTGCGAACGCCATGCAATTGTACTTCAAGTCTCCGTCAGGAAATCAATCCAAGCAATCTACTAACTCCCGCTAGGATCGACTCCAAAATCTACGCAAAAAGTGAAGAGTGTAGTATGAGTACAACCGACCCCATGTTATCTGCAATTGGTGAGCCTAACCTCGACTAAGAAGTGACGAGGCTAAGGAGGGTCACCTACAATAACTTGTATGCAGTACAATAATAATAACAAGAAAGAAGCATAGGAAAAGTAAGGCTATTTACTGATGAAATAACTCAAACCTTGAAATCAGTAAAAGCAGAAACATCATTCCTCAAAATCTCGTATGAAAACACTAAAAGCAAACACAATGCAACAATGGATACAAAACACAGAATCCGCCTCGGCACACAACCTAATCCTACCGTACAAATATAATCCTCCCTTATTACACCATATCAATGCCAAGAATAACATGTAAAATCTGTTGCGGAGCGCAACGCGATCCCACCATATAATCAGAATCAATGTCATAATCCTCACTTATTTCACCATATCAAGATCATATATAAAATATGTTGCGTCGTGCAACCAGATCGCACCATATCAACATCAATCCTTCCTTATTCCACCCATTGCGGCGTGCAACTC